GTATGCTATATAACCCATGTAGCCTGTATGGAACTTATTTACTTAATATGATCATGAGCTCACCCATTTTTTGATTTAACTCTTTTATAATTTATATACAGGGCAGAGCCAGTTTATTTGGAATTTCCTGAGTTCAAAGGCAATTCTCGCCGGGACTATTGGTTGGATATTTGTCTTGAGATCTTGCGTGCACACAGGTTTATTCGGAAAAACAATTTTAAAGAGACTAAGAAATCAGAAGTAATGGCAAGAGCTATTCTAGGCATTTGTCGATATCGTGCAGTTAGAGAAGCCTTCCACTTCTTTTCATCCCATTATAAAACCTTACTTGCTTTTAACCTTGCTGAAAGTCTTCCAGGGGGAGACTTGATTTTGAAAACTTTGTCAAGTCGGTTGGTTCTTTTGAATTCCAGTGCTGCCCAACATGATGTTTCTGGGAGTCCTTATGCAAAACGGCAGCCAAAACTTTCTCCAGTTTCACTTATAGCACTTACTCAACTTGGCTTTATATTAGAAAAAGAAGGAAACCTTGAGGGAGAAGCAATAATAGTAGGAGATGTTTGTGTTGGTGAGATTAATCCCTTGGAAATGGCAGTAAAACAGTCACTACTGGACACAGGGAGGGCTGAAGCTGCACAGGCAACTGTGGAACAGGTGAAGGTGGATGGAATTGATACAAATGTTGCTATAATGAAGGTAGGTTTTCAGTTTCACATGTTAAATTTGGTTTTCCAAGCCAATGTAACTCTTACCATTCTTTAAATTAGTAATAATAATATTAGGGAGAAACAAAAAGAGCATAGAAATCTATAAAAGTGCCTTTTAAGGATGAATCTGTTTATATTGCTTCTAGTTTGTGAGACAGATTATATTTATTTTTCTCTTAATAGATAGGGAAGGATGAAGGGAATTTTCCTTCTTCAGGCTCGGAGCTGCTAAATCTGATCTTGAACAGGTGATAAGTGTATTGTGCTCAACCAAAGAATAGAAAAATCCATTGAATCAGTGCAGTACTTTGAGCAAGCTGTATTGATGCAAAAACAGCTTCTTATGGCTAAATTCTCTGATATCTTTTCGTTATACTTGGTTGTTTGTTTCTGCTTTAATAGAACCCCATATTATAATGTGGATAGAGACAGGATGGACTTGAACAGATTATGTGCAGTCACTAAGTTTTTGTTTCCTCTGGGAGTTTTTATTTCTTTAAATGTGCATGGCTTCATGATTTTGTTATTTTTTGAAGATATAAGGTTTGTAGAGCTTACACGTTTAGTTCTCTACGTTTTTATGTATAAAAATGATTGGCTTTTACTTGTAGGAACTATTGTTTCCAGTTATTGAAGTAGCTACTCGTGTTCAACTTTTGGCATCATGGGAACACCCTTATAAATCAACGGCATTTCTGATGTTGACATGCTACTCTATACTAAGGTAACTTGTTGAGTGGAGTTTTCCATGCCTGGCCCCAAGAGTATTAATAATTTTCCACTGTCCTTTACTGGGAAAATACTCCTCTCCATTTGCAACAGAGAGCTGGCTGTTAAACCTGGACTGCCAGAGCTTTGGTCCCCACGTGGACTTTGAAGTCTGGGCTTAAGTTGCCCTCTCAGTTTAGTGCTGGAAATATAGAGGAGTTGGGTTCCCCTATTAATTGCTTGAGAACAATTCTACTTTATAACTGCATGGTCCTCTCAGTGCTGCAAATGGAGAGGAGCTGAGATTACCCTATTGATGGTGTTTGGTGTTAATCTGCTACTCTATGTTAAGGTAACTTAGTCTGTGACTGGAGTTTTCATGCCTGGTGCCAAGAGTATTAGTAATTTCTTCACTTACCCTACTGGGCTGGCTGTCAATCTGGACTTGTAGAGCATGGGGCCCCTTATATTGAGTTTATGCTCCATGTGGACTTTATAGTTCACTGCCCCTGTCAATTTGGTGGTGCAAATTGAGAGCCTATTGAAGGCTTCTGATGAAATCTTTTCTATTAATGCTATAATTTATGAGTAGAGTGTGCCTAATGCACCAATCTAATCAAGACAATTGTTATGTCTGACTTACATATTCAGTTTGAAACTTTTTAGTTTTCTTTCAAATTTTATTATGATGTTCCAGTGCCAGGACCAGGAAAAAATTTTCACAGGTCTTTAGTCCTTTTTCTGAATGGCTGTAATTAGCTGAGTAACAATGAAGTTATCCTTGTAATTGGATTTACTGTAATTAGTTTGGCAGAGATTGAAGGTCTGCCTTTTCGTGTAAGTATGATTTCAAAAAATCTTCCCTCATTTTAGCAGACTAATTTAAGATATTTCACCAGTGGATTATGATTATAGACCATCAGCTGAAAGAAGTCTTTCAGAGGGTTTAAATTGGAAACAGAAAATGCCCGGGCCATTTGAAATTATAAGAACATGCAACTCAATATGATATGTGCACTCTCTGGTATTAATTCCTGTTTTCTCTTAAACAAACTCTATTCCTCTGCCTGAGAATGAAGGTTTTGTGGCCAAAGTTTCGTTTTCATGCCGCAAAAGCAACATAATTATGACATTTGGCATCACCAGTCACAATGTCAAAGACAGCTGGTTTTAGGGCATTATCGATAAGCGAGCTAAAGTGTCCATGGTAATCATGAATAGTGTGACTTAAGTGTCTGGTCACCTATGTTCAGGACTATGATATTCTTGCCTCCTTTGAAGGTCAGAGAAGCCCCACTGTTGGATAAATGGGTACCCGGCCACTGGACCATGATCCTTGGTGCCATTCCAACAGTCAGCAATAACTTTTGCTGTCTTCCCCCATTGACGGGAAAGATGCCTTCCTGTCCCCAAAGAAATGATAAAATGATCTTCTCTTTGGTGGAAACTTACTGAAACATTACTTGGGTCCGAAGTAGGGGACACACATCATATGAGGGTCAAGTAGGTGTGGCCCAAGCATTACACTTTCCTTTCTTTGATTTATTGAGGGTGTTTGTTTGTTTTTTTTTTTTTTTAAAAAAAAAAGTTTTGTTTTTTTTTTTTTTTTTTTTTTTTTTTTTTTTTTTTTTTTTTAAGATGGGTTTCTTTGTTTTTTCTTTCTGGTATATATCATCATCCCATCATGATTGACCTGTCAACTTTGAGTACTTGTCTTGCTATGTCTTCCACAGTTCTCAAGCCAAAATATTAGCATTATTTCCCTTTTTTTTCTTTTTTAAATATTAGCTTTAGCTTGGATGGACAGAAGTAATTTTATGTTGATTTTGGTGTACAGGGATTGGATCAGATATATATTGCCATCAATTTTTGTATTCGTTGCAGTTCTTATGCTCTGGTGCAGGCATTTTAACAAAGGGAGACCATTAGAACCATTCAAAATAACACCTCCCCATAACCGAAATGCAGTAGAGCAGCTGCTGACATTGCAAGAAGCCATCACTCAAGTTGAAGCATTACTTCGAGCTGGGAATATTGTTCTCCTGAAGCTAAGAGCTCTCCTGTTTGCAGTTCTTCCACAGGTATGTTTCAAAGCGATGCCAATTTGCCAGGACAATAGGATACAAATAATTCTAAGTGCATTTAGTGGGAGAATTTGGAGCCGGTTTAACTTTTTTCCCCTGGCCATAAGAAGCAACATCACAGGTATTGGGGGTGCGATAAGTTTATAATAGTTTTCTAGTTTCCTCATTACAAGTGTCTTTACTAGGTAGTTCTCTTGAAACTTCAGTTCTGGGAGGCCCTTGAAAGGCCTTTCCCTCTGCAGGCAAGTCGTGAGGTAAAAAGGACAACTTGTCCTTAGTTGGACAGAACTGATAGTTGGATGTTTGTTTCGGACCTTAAAATAACTCCACATGGATTTAGTAAAATTCATGAAAAAAGATATATTAAGAAAACTGCATCTTAAGTTCTCTGTGTTATTAAAATCTTGAAAATATCCAGTTAAACTTGTTAAAGTCCAGTATTCTTCTTTATTCTTCAGCTCTCATAATTTTGCAGTATAGATTGAATTGTCGGTATTTACAATAGGTTGCACCAACAGATTGAACTTGAAATAAGATCGGTCATTTGAATTTAAGTTTCTATTAGGAGTTGCTTTATGCTCTCCCACCAATGTGTTACATATTCAAAATTGATCTTTCTGCAGGCAACGGACAGAATTGTTTTACTGCTGGTTTTCATGGCAGCAGTGTTTGCATTTGTGCCTCTGAGATATATAATCCTGGTAGTATTTGTAGAGGCTTTTACAAGGGAAATGCCATATAGAAAAGAAAGCAGTGACAGGTGGGTGAGGCGAATTAGAGAATGGTGGGTCAGGATACCAGCAGCTCCCGTTCAACTCATTAAACCTGATGATAACAAGAAAAAGAAATCATAAACATTGTGTACCATGCTATCAAATTGTAAATGGCCAAGTGAATCTATTTCCATTCCAGTTAAATTTGTGCTGGCTCCCTTTTGTATATATACGAGTTGTTTTGGTTAATTTTTTTTTTTTTTTTTTTTTTTTTTTGGTGTTTTTTTCAAAATAATATTCCAGCAGGGAGATAAATTTACTTGTTTTTAATTCCTTTTCATTAATTAATTTATTAATATAATAGAATTGATGCGAAGGTCAACGTATATGATATCAAACCATTGGAATTTCGTTGCTTAAAAGCGATGTGTCCCCTATCTATCATAAAGTGTTTAACCAACTATGACAAATAACTGTGCTGCTCGAAGTTCGATACTATTAAGAGAAGGGACAGAAAAAGAGTTGAGACATGAACTCCAGCTTAATCAACGTTGCTTGCATGGAATTGGAATATATTTGATTGCTTTTATCAGCAATGGCTCAACTCATGCTGTTGAATACAACTCTTATGAACTCCGAAATAATCTTGGATTGGAACTATACTTCAGATTTTTAGGGTTAACACTCAAGAATCAAAAAGAAAAAGGTAAATCCCTGTACAAAACCTAAAATATGAAAAGCAGGGGGTGGGCAAAGACAGTGTGAATAGAAATTATGCCATTCCTACATCAAACGTTGTCTGGCCAAAACTCCCTATGAAAGGCACGCTCAAATTCCCTCTCCTGCAATCTTTTCTCTAACTCCTGCTCTTTCTTCATCTTCTTTGAGAGTCCCTTGCCTTTTTTTGAATGCAGCTCCTAAAAACCAACAGCACGGTTATATATAACTGATACATGCAGGTTAGTCGTATCATAGTTATCAACAGTTAATATTTATTAAAATATTGGTAGAAATGTCAATATTGAGGACAATAATGGTAAAATTAAACAGCGGAAGTTAATATTAAAGCATAATTTTGTATGAAATTCGGCTACTTCTAAACCAATCAATAATACATCAATTAAACATGTAAACTTCTTAAAGTAGTATATCCATGATAAGTATGATACCCAGGATCAAATCAAAATGGTGCAGGTCACTGCCAGCATCCAAAAACATCGTAGTACATTGAGCATGATCCCGTATAAGCAGTAAAATGGGTAAATTTATTTTCTTATACAACACAAACACATTATGAAAATTTATATTAACTTGTGTAAATGTTCATAGCTAGCCTTCTTACCACCAAATTCGTTAATTAGATTAAATTAACATGAACAATAACCACCACACACACACACACACACACAAATCTAAACAGTTCACACTAGCACTAAAACCATCAACCTCTCAGTAATATATCGCCATGATGTAGGTGATATCGTCCCATGGCACATCAAAAATGGTACTTGATTTCCCTTTTTACCACAAAAAGAAAGAAAAAAAGGAACGAACCTAATTTATTTATTTTTTTGTATTTAGAAAAAGCAAATAATTAGCAGTCCGATAGTGTAGCCAGTTAAAATGGTCAACTTAATTTCTCTCTTCCTTCTATGTGTGTATTGTCTAAATCATTGATCCAACAACATGGCATAAGCAAAAAACCAAAGACCTCACTTTTCTCTTTCACTAATTCTATAAAGAGCTCTTCTTATTGATCAAATTCCATTGCCTCAGACTTCTAATGTGCTCAGCAGAAGATGAGTTCATAAACAACATCCAACAATATTTATAGCCCCTTACATGGTCAAACATATATTTTCCAAAAGAAGCTCCATCATCTAAGTCCCATGCTCTGGCTAATAACATGATTATCAATTTATTCATAGCTTCAATATCACTTCATATTTTTCTAATTATCTTCATTGATTGGAAAAGAGGAAAAGCCAAACAAGAAAGAATTGGGTTTTTGAATTATTACTATACATGCAAACGAACTCACCTGGTCATTTTTTCGATTCAAGACAGTAGAATCAGGGGGATTTAGTGCCTTTTGTAATTTATCTGCTCCCAGGCCCCGTTTATTATTCTTCAAGTATGCTTGTACAGGCTCTATCCTTCCCTGTTACATAAACATCTCTCAACAGAATTGACATATTTAATTATTAACAAACAGTCATTTTCAGCCAACTTGAGAAAGAAATCCACACAAATAAAAAGATTATGTGTCAATTTTATAACTGCTCAGAACACTCTACATTCATGGTCAGGAATCCAGGAAAAAGTGAGTCAACAGAAAACAAAGCTCACACAAACAAAAGAAAATGAACTGATTCAAAGTTTAGGATTATATTGCTTTTTGGCAAAGAAAAATAAGAGTGAGAAAGATAGTAATATAATAACCTGCTCAGAAATCCCAAGACCAGTTCCTTCTTTCCAACCATGTTTCTTCAAAAGCTGCATAAGACCAATCAAAGGACAATGAACACAGGACCAAAGCAAAAGGAAGAAATAACACCGAAAACATTTTTTTTTCAAATAAAAACAATGGGGGTTTCTAAACATAAAACAATGGGGGAATACCTGAAAGCCTATATTGGAGGGATTGATGGCTATTGATGAACAACTTGAAGTCACCATGCCTTTTCCCATACCTTCTTCCTCCTGAACCAAATGCACAAAGCTATTGTTCTGAAGATAAAAGAAAACAAAAAATATATATTATAATACTCTGTCAGCTTTCCAAAGTCCTTTATATGAGTTATGTTCCCTTCTTACCCCTTTCCTTAAAATCCTTATTTTTTATATTTCTTCTGCTCAGACATACAAACAACTTCTAACGATTAGAGGAATGAAATATTGTTACTGGGTCTGGGTTATGCTTTTCCTCAAAATTCTCTTCCACTTAGATCTACAAAGAAAGTATCACTTAGATCATTGATGCACATTTCAATATAGAATACACTCTCGTTCAGTTTACTTCTCCTACAATGGATTCAAAAACCAGACTTTTAAATTCCTTTAGCTCATGCCCTTGTTTAGGATTTTTCTTGTGCATAATTTGTTTATCAGCATAAAATCAGGCTCTCATTTGCTAAAAAGGAAAAAGGATTAAGTTTAGGAACAAACAAGCCAAGGCAGTGAGGCTAACCTTTTCATAGTTTCCACTAGAATCTGAATTTTCAGAAACCGGAAAGAATTTATTTCTTGATGTATCTGCTCCTAAGCCTCGTTTGTTGTCCTTCAAGTAAGCTTTAACAGGCTCTAGCCTACCCTGTTCACAAGAATGATGATAAACTTAAGACATGCATTCCAAGCGGCTTGTGGAATCAAATCTGGTTAAAACACTCGGGCAGAGAAATCTGAAAACAGATCAATCAATCAATCAATCAGTATTAATTAATTGTTGATTGTTGAGCGGTGGTATTGGCAATAATAATACAGCAATATTTCCATATTCTACTTCCAAGAAACAATAATACAGCAAGTAGCAAATACAGACGGTACCTGCTGGGAAGCACCAAGACCCGTTCCTTGTGTCCAGCCCTGCTTCTTCAAAAGCTGCATTCAAATTCTAACATATCACTTTCTTTATCAAATTAAACACAACAAAACAACTCGAATTCGAATTTCGCATAAACCCTACAGCTAGAAGCCTATAAGTGAGGACCTGAAACCCAATATTGGAGGAGTCTATGCCTGAAGAAGATGAGCCTACCGTCGCCGGCTCGTCCTCTCCCATGATGGCTTTTTCCCCAATTTTTCTTTATTTTTTGTTAGTGATACGAGTACGGGTTCAGAATTCATAAATTGTTATTTATCTTCTTTGATCCTAAACTGAATCGATGCAAATAATACTAATCGAAAATTTGAAGAAAAAATAAAAACAGAGAATAGTTTGCTTTTAAGGTGCTTTTTTTGTTAACCCATTTTGATAATTTATAGGTTTCTTTTAATGAAAAAAGAAAAACAATAATAAATAAAGAATAGTGATTATTTTTCTAAACAATTTTGGAAGGCTTCTTTTTTCATTTTTTGTTTTTTTCTTTTCTTTTCCCTCGTTTGCCAAATTTAAATCGCTTACATTTATCCCATATATTTACATGATAAGAGTGGAAAAATCAGGAATTGGGAAACTTAAGATTTTTTTTTGGTCCCCAAAACACATGACCCGCCGCCACCCCCCTCCCCCCTCCCCCCCTCTTCTCTTTCTGTCTCTCTCTATCTCTTCTTTGAGCATGTATAAATTTATTTATCGTGTTCATTGAGCGTGTCTACAATTTTCAACAAGAAAAAAGAAGAAGAATAGGATGGACTTGATTTGGGTGGGGCAAGGGAATTTGTGTGTAGAGAGAGAAAGAGGAAGGGGAAGAGGGAAGGGAGAATGGATTTCAAGATAGGCGGGATTGGTTCGAGCTGTCGGTGGCCCATTTTTAAAATACCTTTGAAAACGGAAAGACTAAAATACTCTTAAAGTGAGATTACAAATCATAGATTTTGAATAATTAAAGTGACATTTTTCTTTAAAAAAAAATAATTTTAAGGTGACAACTGAAAACTAAAGTCTAAGTCCAAGTGACATTTCTACAAAAATCCCTAAGTAAACATTCATAATACATTCAAAACATATGGAATCCTGAAATTGAATTACAGCCCCATAACATTCTATACCCTATATAATTCACCAAATATTTATCTTAACTTATAATTTTCATCAATGAATCTTACAGACTCCTTGTAATATGCACTTTAATTTTATGACTTTAAATTTACAAATTGATATAAATAAATAATTTATTTATAAGTTTCTTCTAAGTAGGTGTTACATCAACATGTTATTTCTAAGTTTTATTATAACTGAGCTCAGTAATTGTTATGAAATGACCACATCAACGGTCACATAAAATGATTGTGGTCAAGAGCTCATTATTTACCATGAAATGACCAAATCAACGGTCACATAAAATGATCACCATAAATAAAATTAGTATTGATAAAAAAATTATTGGCCTTTTGACGAAGCCATTCGAAAATAAATAAAAAAGAGGGCAGATCCCATCCGTCTGTTTGGTAATTGCGTAATTGGCATCACACTCACACGCTGCTTCTGTAATTTCGTAATTGTCGTCTCTCGTTTGGGTTTGTTGCTGAAAACCCTAAACAGAGAGAAGGAAGAGAAGAGATGGATTTGGACCAGTGGATCTCAAAGGTGAAGGAAGGACAGCATCTATTGGAGGACGAGCTTCAACTCCTATGCGAATACGTCCGTATCTTTATTTGTTTCTTTCCTTTATATCTAGCGTTTGTGTTAAATTCAAATAGGTTTTTATGATCTTTCTCCCCACTACTACTCGCCTTGTATGATAACTTTAGTTCCTCGAACAAATCGGAAATCCGATTTCCATATTGTTTTCTTAAAATTCTGCGCTATAAGATCAACAAATGAAACTTCCGAACTCAATTTTTGTCCACAAATGATTTTTGACTGCCCTTTGGTTGAGCTTGAGTAGCTAATAGACGGATATGCTTCAAGATTCAATACCCTTTTGTTTAAAATAGAAAGAAATAACCTTGTTCCCTACTTACTGCCTACATATGTTTAGGTTGTCTTTGTTTATCACAGAGAGCATGCTACATTACATGACACAGTATTGAACGTTGTAAACTCTCTTAGGCTTGCTCAGCATGGTTTAAACAATCTTTGTTTCATTACATGTCCGTGACCTAAGTGGCAAAAAGTTTTATGATGTTGTGATTTTATGCTCAATTGTTATCGTTATTTTTCAAAAATTAGCACATTGATTTAATGATATGGAATGTCTCATGCATAAGTATTAGTTATGGCTGCATCTGAGTACCCCAGGAATTTTAATTCGAGCCCATCAATTCTGACCTCCCTCACACAGCACGCGAGTCTTGGTGGGCCCTGCGTAAATGTTATGAGAGGGAGGTAACTTATGATGGTCTCATGCAATAATTTTTGCACGCACACATTAAAGGTAGTTATTGAAAATTGTTTGGATCAGTATTATTCTTCAGAGTGTCGTATGGAATTCCTCTGGTGCTCTGTTTGCAGGGAAATATGAACGTTCCCATGAATAATTTCAGGTTTTCCTTGTCAAGAGGAGGTTTATTTTTTTATTGACCTTATTTATCACTGTAACTATTACAGGTAAAAGAGATTCTTATTGAGGAGTCCAATGTGCAACCTGTAAACAGTCCGGTCACTGTTTGTGGTGATATTCATGGCCAGTTCCACGACCTAATGAAACTTTTCCAGACTGGAGGCCATGTACCAGAGACGAATTACATATTCATGGTATGCTTTTATTTTTCATTATAAAGTTGTGATTACATCTCTACCCATCATCATTACATACCATTCACCTATTTTCTTGGGGTGCTTAATATTCCCGAGTTCTTGGCAGGGAGATTTTGTTGATCGAGGTTACAATAGCCTTGAAGTTTTCACTATCCTTTTGCTTCTTAAAGCGAGGTACATATACCATAGTTTTTTTGTTGGAAGATTGTGCATAATTATATGGTCAATGGTTAACTGCAGTCATGCACATACTTTTCAAAACAGTACTTCAGTCACACCCACTTCTTTACTGTTTTGGTTCTTATGATTATGCACCATGTTAGGATGCCTTTAACATGCATTGCAGCCCTCTGATATGCGGTGTATGGTTCAGTTGTCATTTGGGTCAGTACTAAATTATCCTTTTCATTAAGGTAGAGTCCTTGCTCTTGGCATTTATGTTAGAAATTTAACTTGTGAAGGACTATTGTATATAACTATAGATAGATGCACACAAATATGTTGGTTCTTTTAGTTGGTAGAACAAGTACAATGTGGAGTTGATAGTTGAGTGCATTGCTCCAAGGTACTTATGTTGAAATGTTAGTGTGTGTGGTTTTAAAAGGCTATTGTATTTAAATGTTATTTTGACTGCCAAGTGTCATTAGCTGAGGAGGGAAGCTCTGTATATCATATAGACTAAGTTGTAGACATACAAAAATTGTGCCCATGTTGTAGACATACAAAAATTGTTGTATTTCTACCCTTTCTCTCTTTTTCACCCTCTCTCGCTCTGTAGTTATCATCGTTGCTTAATGTGCTTATATCTGTTTTTTTTTTCTTTTTTCCGATAACAACTTTCTGACTGGTTTAGTGGAGACAAAGTTTTGTAATTTGAATTTCCCGGTAAAAAAGAATGCTGATGAGAAATTTTGCACGATATAGGAGATATAAACTCTTACCTGGCATCTCCATGGGCTTTGATATCTTCAGAGTTTAAGGATTGTTATTATTATTATTGTTATTTTAAAATTGGAAGCAGTTGTTTATTGCTGGCTTCTGTTTCTTTTCTGGCTCATTTTTTTGGGTGCTGCTTTAGAGCTCTCTAGATCTTTGATTTAGTGGACATTTTGTCCGTTGTTTTGTACTATTTATTTCTCTTTAATGTTAGTTTGTTTCTGAAAGTTATGTTTTTAGGGCATCTTGTCTATTGTTTTCTACTATTTCTGTTTCTATAAAGTTATTTTGTGTACTACGAAAGAAAGCTTTAATTAATATCTGCATCCGGCTATGGTGAAGTGAATGTGTGATTGCTGTTGTTCTTTTCTTCTCATCCTTCAAGAAGCTAATATTCCTTTTTTCTTGATGGTGGCCTATAGGTATCCAGCTCATATTACCCTTTTGCGTGGTAATCATGAAAGCAGGCAACTTACCCAGGTAGATATTGTATAGTGTTTTGGAACAGACAATTATTAACGACTGCCTTGAATTGTATGTTAAATACTCAAATTCAAGCTGAGAGTTTCCATGCTATTTTCCTTTGCTCAAAGCCAGATAGTACATCTCGTTCATGTGAGCATTATTTGGCTAAAGCTGTTGGTGGCTGAAATGAAGTCATAATATTTTGTATTCAGAAGTACTTTAGGGCACTGTAACGGAATTGTTAGTTTAGCATGTGATGGAGGCCTAATATAATGGAGTCAATTGCAAGAGTTGTTGCGTGCAAAAAATTGAGTTGATAAATGAATTACATCTGAATTTATAACTCCCTGAGCTTATTTCAAGAAAGCCTTTTGAAAATATATATTGAATTGGATAGCGGTAAGATATTGTGGTGTTTATGGGAAGGGAGCAATGATAGGAACTTTAAGGATTAGGAGGATATGACCCAGCAGTAAAAAGTCCATTGTCCTTAGAACTTTTATATAGTGGCCTTAAATTTGGCTTTCTATTGAAGAGTTTTGGTTTCTACTTTTTACCTGCTAGTTCTTTCTACTGCTCCTCATTGCATAATGCATACCCCCTTTCCATGGTGAACTGGGAACACTTGCTTTTTCTTAGTAAAATTCTTTTTTTTTTTGGGGTCAATATTTTGTAAAAAATGTATTTAAAAAAAAACAAGTATAAAGAAAAGGAATGAATACTTTTTGTGAAACCTTCCATATTCAGACATTCGGTTGGACATTATTTTCATCACTCTATTCTGGAAGGCAGGAGCACTTCCCTCTGGTTTTGGCACCCCATGGTCTGGGTAGTGATGCTCACAACATTGATGATCATTAACCATAGTATCTCTTCTCAGACCAGAGGCTTTAATAAGGCTGGGGTTGTTGGCATTGATGGTGTGATGGGTCTTAATCAATAGTTTTCATTCCTGTTAGGTATATGGCTTTTATGATGAATGCCAGAGGAAGTATGGAAATGCTAATGCATGGCGGTACTGTACAGATGTTTTCGACTATCTGACGCTTTCAGCAATTATAGATGGAACTGTAAACCTCCTCTCTCCCTCTCTCTATGTATATGTCTGTGTGTTTGTGTTAGTATGTATCTCTTATCTGTGGTGTACTTTTTGATAGTAAATATGTTTATTTGGTTTGTCATCCCAGGTGCTATGTGTCCATGGTGGACTTTCTCCTGACATCCGAACAATTGATCAAGTAACCCCTTCTTGATATGCATTTTAACTTGTTGGTATATGTATGTATTTATGTTTTTCATGCATGTTCTAGAGCTGCAATTTTGCATTAGCCACTTTGCATGGAGGCTTCTTGCATGGATATGATTAACGGTTTCTTAGATTCTGTAATTTTGTGTGTTAATCAATTGAAAGAAGCACTTATCCTGTGAATGTTAGTTTAGCTTTTCAAAGAAGCACTTATCCTATGGCCTTGTTCTCAAACAAGTTTAGCTTTTATTTTTTTAACTCGGTTCCCTCCATTTGAAGCACCTATACCCATGACATGATAATGCTACCATTTGTATGAATTATCTTATTTTTTTGGGTTACAATTTGCCATTATAATTTGCCATTTCCAGCATAATCATCACTTCCCATGCTTTTTCCTGTAACAGATAAGGGTTATTGAGAGAAACTGTGAAATTCCACACGAGGGGCCATTTTGTGATCTCATGTGGAGTGATCCTGAAGATATTGAAACATGGGCAGTAAGTCCACGTGGAGCAGGTTGGCTTTTTGGATCCAGAGTCACTTCTGAGGTAACTCGATCTGATTTCAAATTAAGTAGGATACATACCTGCTTGTTGTCTCCCTGTCTCTCTCTTACAAAAGCTTAAGAATTTTCTTTTCTCCAGTTCAACCACATAAATAATCTTGATCTGGTTTGTCGGGCACACCAACTTGTTCAAGAAGGTCTTAAGTACATGTTTCAAGATAAAGGCCTTGTAACTGTGAGATTCTGAACTTTTTACATTATAATTTTTTTGGGTAAACATTGTAAAAGTTGGATTGAGTAGTTGGGTTCTTGAATTTTGCAGGTCTGGTCGGCACCAAATTACTGTTATCGGTGTGGGAATGTAGCTTCTATTTTGAGTTTTAACGACAATATGGTAAACATTACGAGCTCACCTATGCCTTGTGTTTTTTTCTTAATGATTAATGGAAAATTATCAGACGCAGCAAACTTGTATGATATGTCTAATTAGGATACATGCATATTTAACGTTGATTGTTTCTAGTACCTGAAACTAGTTCTGAGAGAGTTTTTAACATCCATGAGCACTCTCTCAATTTTAAGATTCTAAACAGTTCTGGAGTAGGTATCTTGGTTCTGGATCATTAGAAGAAATGAATTAAATCTCTACCTAATTTGGTTAGTTTGTAAACTCATAGTCAAACCTATTAATGAGATATGTCCACATCCTTCCTATAAAGATAGTTCCGCATATATGCCATACTTACATGGATTGCTTATAGGTTTGTATTGGTTTTGTTATATTGCACATTTGAATTTATATTTGCATCTGCGTGTATATATTTATAGGTTTGTATTGGTGCTTCCACATTTTTGGTAATGGTGGTGGCAACGGCATTGGTGTTGCTGCTGTTTTCTTTGTTCTTTTTGCTGCGTTTTATTGAGATTGTTATCTTGAATGCTGTCTTCACATGGAAATGATGCTTTTAGTAATTTTGATGTCAAACGATTAGCCGGAATTTAAGGCTTAACCAAGGATCCCTCAGCTGGTAACTTTTATGAGTGTAAAACCATGCCGTTGATGAGGCTTCATCTTCTTTCATTTGAAACAGGAGAGAGAGGTGAAGTTCTTCACTGAAACAGAGGAGAACAACCAGATGAGAGGACCCAGGACAGGAGTACCTTATTTCTTATGATCAGTTGGAGTGATTTGGCTGCGTCATTTGTATAATCATTTAAGTCTTGGTATAGGTGTTGAGAGTACTGTAACAGAGAAGAGCCTTGAATAGGTCGCGGTCTGGTGGATCTCCTTTAATACTTGGCTGGAGATCCTGCCTTGAGATTGAGGTTTTCCATCTGGTCTGGCTGCTAGACAATTTGACATTCATGGGTTGTGTGTATTACTTACTAGGTTGCTAATTGTTTTTCAATTCTTAATCCATGCCCGTTACATTTCGTTATGTTTCTTCGTGTCTGCCCCCTTTTGGAACACATGTATACTGCATCATGCAGCAATGCCCAAATTACAACTAGCATTTTGTTATTTAATATTTATGCCTATGTCTAATGGCACGCATTTCATTCAGAACCCAGTTTTATTCGTGACCTGAATTTTTGAGGTTGTAAGGCGTTTATGTTTTGAGAGTCCATTTTCATTTTGAGAGAACAAAAACAAACAAAAAATCTGTTTGGTGGGCAAAAACAGAAAACACAGAGAACGTTTTATGAAAACAAAAACAATTTCACGTCTACTTGTAGGGGAGTGTATTCAATTAGGATTTTAAAAGACTATTTTGGGATAAATAAGTCTTGTGGTATTCAATTAAGACTTTTAAATAATCTAAACAAGTCTTGTGGTATTCAATAAGGACTATTAGGATTTTTTAAAGAGGGTGTCCAAATCTAGTGGTATTCAATCAAGACTTTAAACAAGTAACAAAAAGTCTTTTGGTATTAAAAAATTTGTTAATTTCGAAGGATTTTTTTTAAAGAAGGAATTTGTGTGACTTTTTAGTGGGAGATATAAATACCAAACCCTAAAAAAAATCCCACCATAACCCGTCAGACTTTTCACGTGAGATTTTTCTCTCTGCAAGAGAAGATAAACAGTTCTTCGTGAAGATAAACAGCTCTTCGTGAATAAGGTATTGTTTCCTTCTCGTGCTATGTCTTCTTGCGTTTATTGTATGTATCAAATATATGCCATGCTATGTTTTCTTTGCTGGTAAAAAAATTTTGTATTCGTTTTCTATAACCATGCTGGCATCTATTGATTCTTTTTCAATTTCTATAACCATGCTGACATCGTTTTCTTTGTTATTAAAAGATATGTGGAGAAATGCTACATAGGAGGACATGAAGCTACATCAAATTGGCTATTAAAAGATTGGGAAAACTTTATTGAATTTTACTTTTCTTTGTTAAAATTGTGTTTCTTTGTTATCTTTTTCATTGACTCTTGTAACTTTGTTGGTTGGTTATCATACAAATAAATGTGGTCCTTTCAAATCTTATAAATTCTTATGATATAAATTTTTAAAATCCAAACACAAAAAATCCTGAGTATAAAAAATCTTATAAGTCATTACATTCTTAAATAGTCTTTTAAAATCCACTAGACTTATTTATCCATAAATAGTCTTATAAAATCTCAATTGAATACACCCCCGTAGATAACATAAAAAAGCTGTTTTCATTCTCACAGGAAACAACATTGAAAACACACTGCTTCTCTCCCCATCAGACCAAAACCACCATCAAATGCTGCCAACAGAGAATCACACGCAGAGCTTGAACCACCAACATCACCCTATCAAAATCACCACCGCCCCATCGAACTAGATTGTCATCGCCGCTCAATTAAACCAGCATCGTTGAACAACTAATTGCCAAATCAATTTTCAGTCCAAGAAAAGGAAAGGGAGCTAGGAAGCTATTGGAAGGTGAGGTTGCACAGAGAGAGAGAGAGAGAGAGAGAGAGAGAGAGAGAGAGAGAGAGAGGGTGTAGCAGTATGAAGAGAGAGTGGAAAAGAGGGGGGTTGGTTTGATTCTTCAATTTTTGAGAGAGAGGGAGAATGAGAGAGGTATCTGGAGGGGGAGGGAGGGAGAGAGAGAGAAGGGAATGGTAGAATTGGGGTGGGTTTGTAGAGAGTGAAAGCGAAGGTTGGGTTGAGGTTTCAATTTTATATATAAAGATAATTCTAGTTTTATACTATAGAATTTATTCTATTTTTTAAATGATATTCTTCAAGATGCTTAAAAAAATATTTTTTAAAAATAATATACGTACTTTTTTTTTTGAAACTCACATATTGATTACATAATGTTGTATTAAAAAAAACATTATGCATTTTAATTAAAATTACATATATTTTCACTGTTTTTGTCATTTTCACATATTACTGCCAGACGCGTTTTCACTGTTTTTATTCTCTGAAAATAGTTTTCAATTAAGTTACCATACGCGTTTTTGTTTTCTGAAAATGCATTTTCATTTTCTTGTCTTCATTCTATGAAAACATTCTATGAAAATGCTCTCTGAAAACATTACCAGATGGGCCCTAAGTAATTGTAATTTTTAATTTTCTGGAGCAGCAAATTTTAGCTCGTTGAAAAGCAAATGAGTAATTTAATTACAAGTTTGTATTAAGTTACAAGATTTCAAGGACAAATGAGCGATATGAATAACTGATAGAATGTCAAAATTGTTCAGCCATCTTTTTTTTGAAAATTGGTCAGGAGATATTTGATTAGCCATCTAACTATACATAAATGTACTACGTATTTGATGAAAACCCGGCATAATGTTATAGATTTTACTTAAAATAAAGGCTTATTTATTGTAGTGTTTCCTGAAACTTCGGTCAAATATCACTTTACATCCCAAAAGTTAAAGTGACCTACTTAACCCCCTTGACCATGATTTTGTGTTCTACTTTACTCCCAACCGTTATCTCCATTAATAACTCTGTCAGTTTTGATGACGTGACAATGGTGTTTTAGTCTTTTTATCACAAGTGATGATGTGTCATATGAATAACCCACTTTTTTTGTTTAAATTGAATTAAATATAAAATAATGTAATTACCTATTTTATTGAAAAATATATTATAAAAAATAGAAAAATCAATAAATAAAAATCTTTCTTCACTATGCTTTAAAAATAAATTAAATTAAATTAAAAAAATCGTACCCAAATCAAAATTGTAATAAATTAACAAAAGAAAATGAAAACAAAAGAATAAAGGATTAATAAAAAAACAAAACAACATATTTAAAAAAAATAAATAAAATAAAAACATTAAGCAAACAGTGCAGCTCCACCCTTTGTCCGGTAACCACCATCTTCCTTATTGCACCACCCACACCAGCACACCAGCACACCAGCACACCCCCACACCCCAGCCACAACCCACCAAACCATCACCAAGCCAACCACACTCAGGCCCCCCCAAAAAATCATCTAAGCCCCGAGCCACAAGATACCAACCCATCCACCAAACAATCACCCAAGCCATCCACACTCCCCCGACCCCCAATCATCTGAAACCAACACCATATACCCAGCTGCCCCCTGAACTCCCTCGACCTCAATAGCCACCCCACCCCAACGGAGAGAGAACCTCTGCCATTAAAAAAGTTTTTAATTTTTTTAGTTAGTCAATTCCCCTAATTCCTCTACAGGGGAATGACACCAATTGCAATGGATGCCAAATTCAGGGTCATAATCTTTGGGGATTGGGTGTGTATGGCCGGTGTGGGTGGGTTTGGATGGTTATGGATGATGGTGTGGTGGTTTGTTGCAGTGAGAGGAGAAAGAAGAAAGGATGAGGCCATTTTTGGGGAGGATATGGATTTTTAGCCAGAGTTGGATCTGGGTAGTTTTTATTTTTTAAAAAGAATAGAGAACTTCTTTAATTATTAATTTTCTCATTTTTTTTAATTAAACAAGTAATTACATTTGGTAAAAAGACTAAAATAGTCATGCCACATCATCAAAACTAACATAGTTATTAATGGAGATAATGATGAGAGTAAAGTGAAATACAAAATCACGGTCAAAAAGATTAAGTGGGTTACCTTAACTTTAGGAGAGTAAAATGAAATTTGACCGAAGTTTCAGGAGCACTATAATAAATAAGCTTAAAATAAATACATGTTAAAATGGATGTTATCGAAGGGTGCAAAACGACAATACCATTTTTCGTTTTTCTAGTTGAGTTGAGAGTTGGCCCTTCCCTCCCTCCCAAAATTCAAATGTTGAGGTCTCATTCACCACAAAATAAATTCTGAACTCATCCTCATATCATGTAAACACAAGATAAGGCAAATCAAAAGGGCTTGCATTGCACCCACCCGATCCCAATGTATCATTCATAATTTGTACAGTACAGATGCCATTTTTGAGAATTGATGAGAGTTTGTGAAATCTTGGGTTGCATTGCAATAAATGGATTATAAAAATAAGCAATTAAATTAGTTTACTGACAAAAGGTTTAATTACTAGCCTATTATTAATTATTATATATAGCAAAGATGAGAATGGTGATGAGAATCCCGAGCCACAGGGCCAGCAGGGGTGTGAGCTTTCTTAACCTGGTTCAGCAGCTTGTGTACCTTCCAGCAGTTTTATTGTCGTCAATTGGTGCCTCTGCATCCATCACCGTCCTAGCGTCATCGTCATCATCAGAAGCAGCAGCAGCATCAGTGAGGATGAACCAGAGTGAGCCTCCCCTTCCCCCTCCGATGGCGAAGAAGGTGGAGCATAAGATGGAGATGTTCGGAGACGTGAGAGTGGACAACTACTATTGGCTTCGAGACGACTCTCGCTCCAACCCCGACGTCCTCTCTTACCTTCAACAAGAGAACGCTTACACCCAATTCCTCATGTCCGGTAGGTATCTACCTATCTATTCTTTCTATCCTATCCCTTCGTTTCCCGTCTCATTTGTTCGTTTCCCGACTCATTTGTCTTTGTTACTTGTATTCAACTATTAATTGTCCGTATTTCGACTTTGATTTGATCTTCACTCAACAGCCTTTAATCTATTACTTGCAAAACTTAACCAACACACACATGTTCTTATAAATAAAATGCAATTATTTTGTTTTTTGATTTTGTTTGCTTGTTTCTAACTTTAGTAGCAAAGCAATGTAATTTTATTTTTAATTTATTTATTTACATTAGGAACTAAGAAATTTGAAGATGAACTGTACGCTGAGATGAGGGGGAGGATCAAGGAGGATGATATATCTGCACCTGAACGAAAAGGCCCCTACTATTACTATCAAAGGACTTTGAAGGGTAAGGAATATGTTCAGCATTGTCGCCGCTTAATACCCAACTTTGAGGCTGAGGCCCCACTCTCTGTATACGATACAATGCCCACCGGACCTGATGCTCCTCCCGAGCATGTAATCTTGGATGAGAATATTAAGGCTCAAAATCATGACTATTATAGCATTGGTGCTTTTAAGGTAACCACAACAAGGGTGTATATGATTATAACAGATATTGCAGTGGTTTCTTGTTTGATTATACAAAGTTCTCCACTTTGTTGTAATTGCTTCTTCAGGTTAGTCCAAATAATAAATTGGTGGCATATACAGAAGACACCAAAGGAAATGAAATTTATACAATTCATGTCATTGATGCTGAGACAGGTGCTCCTGTGGGACTGCCTCTAGTTAATGCAACATCCTATATTGCATGGGCTGGTGATGAGGCTTTAGTTTATATTACAACGGATGAAACTCACCGGCCTGACAAGGTTTGATTCTACTGCTTCAAGCCCTCTGCTTCTCATGTCACGGCATGTTTCACTCACCCACTTCGCCTGCATGTTCAATTCTTTGTGCCATTAATTTTTGAGTTGTCATTATTCAAGGACTGGAGAGCATTATATGATATTTAGCTATCTTATTGGTGTTGAAGATCTTCATGTTTAGGTAAATATTAGAATTTAGCAACTTACCAGTTGTTCTGTTACCACGCTTCCCCCCATTTGTTTACATCCTATGTATGAGGCTCTCCTGTGTTTATTTTCGTTGACTATTAGATATTGTGCTCAATGACCACAGTCCCATGCTTTTACGTGAGAATACAAATGGTTACATAATTTTTCATGAGAACTGGTGACAATGCCTCGTTAGGATGCATCCTCCTATATTTCTGTACAAGTCCCTTCTGTTTTCTTGCTGGTTTGTCTTGTTGCAGTGAGCCAGGAGGTCATGCTTTACCCCTGTCTGGCTCACTCACACAGAAGAGAACTTTTACATGCATTCTGTTCGATCGTTTACTTTTATGAGGGAAGTGCTGCTTAATCCTTTTTGTTTAGCTTATAGCGTGTTTTCTTTTTAATAGGCATGGTTACATAAGTTGGGAACAGAACAGTCATGTGACTCGTGCCTCTATCATGAAAAGGATGATATGTTTTCTCTTGACCTTCAACCTTCTGAGAGCCAAAAATTCTTATTTGTTGGATCTAAAAGTAAAATTACAAGATTCAGCTTTTACCTTGATATTGCAAAGCTTGAAGATGGGCTTGTGGTTCTGACACCTCGTATAAATGGCATTAATACATTTGTTAGTCATCGAGGAAATCATTTTTTTATAATGAGGAGAAGCGACAAATGTTTTAATTCTGAAGTAATTGCTTGTCCACTGGAAAATACATCTGAAACTACTGTTCTTCTTCCACACAGGGAAAGGTAATCATCAAATTTGGTAGTCGCATCCTCATTCATGACCTTAAAATGTTCATGAATTGACTTGTCATTTTTAAAAATTTTAAGAACTATGAAAATTATGTCTTATGTCCTAGTTGTGGCATTATCAGCTTAAGTGTAAATTGAATGTGATATGCATGATTGAAAACATTTTATATCTAAATGTGATTTGCAATACATTTTCTAGAAATGAAACTGAACTTTTTTCTGGAGCCTTTCTCTAGCTATGTTCCTTTGATGTGCTCTTTTAACTGTAAATAAGAGAGATATAACAATGGACGGAGTTAGATGTGTTGTTCAGTCCTCCATGCCATATTGTCCAATTGCTGCTTATGCATTTGCATATTCATTCTAGAATTTTTCTCAGGGTGTGAAATATCTTTGGCAATTTTTTGACCTTCACTATTTTTAGCGGGTACATTTTCTTTCTTATTTTAAGCATACTAATTAGAATTTTCTTCAGTGTAAAAATTCAGGATATACAACTTTTTAGTGATCACCTTGTTGTATATGAGCGTGAAGAGGGTCTACCAAAAGTCACTATCTATGACCTTCCAGATGTTGGACAACCGCTTAAGAGCCTTCACGGTGGTCAAGCTGTTAATTTTTTGGATCCCACATACACTGTGGATCAATCAGAATCAGAATTTTCTTCCAGAATTTTAAGATTTTCTTATAGCTCGATGAAAACGCCTCCGTCTGTATATGATTATGATATGAAGACAGGCATTTCTGTTTTGAAGAAGATCGAAACAGTAAGTAGTTTTTATTGGCATTTCAAAGCTTGCTATTGTGTCTTATTTAACTCTCCTTATAGGATTGTTATTGGTTCAACTTGCAACAGTAATGAATTTATACTTTATTTTATTTTGGATATTAAGATTTCGTTTATTACCTTTAATATATATACCTGGCCTCATGGTTCCTTTGTGTGTGTATGTGTGTAAATGTGTTTTGCCGTGTGCATGAGTGTATGTGTGTGTGTGTTGTGTGAAAATGTTACCTTCTTTAATGGTCATATCTGTTTACTAATGTGAAGTTTATTGTAGGTCTAGGGAGAATGCTGGTTTTGCATGACATGATCATAATATTCACTCATATTATCTCATTCTTATATTTTTGTTCTCTTTCATTTTCGAATACTCCATATACTATACCAACCAAGAAATTGTAGTTTGTATAAGGAAGCTAAAAGAAAGAACATAAGTTGTTTCAGTATGGTCATTGTTCAAAATTGTATAAACTTTACACAACATAGTTTTTTTTTCTGAAAAAAGAAGGGTATGCAATTGGGTTTCTTATTAGTATGATGATGTGAGATTTTGTGGGGGAAATAGCAATGAAGTTCCAACCGCAGGAAGTTTATTTACTGTGTAGAAGGACTATTTTGGTTTTCGAAGTTAAATATTTAAAGTGGAACTTTTACACATTTTCATTTCCATTTCATATACAGTAGTCACTTCTGTATTGATTACGTTATTGGAAAATGCTTTACCCTTGACTTTTTCCCCAATTTTGTCTGCTTTGTTTTTTTTCCCCCCAATTGTCTTGCATGGAATGAGATCCATGATATCACAGAACCTCGTACATGAGAGAGTTGGCAAAAAAGTTGGGTTGTATGGCATCTTCCTGAGTTATTTGATGCCTGGTCAAGTGTTGCCTTTTTCTTACTGTCAAATTAGACACAAATTTCAATATTGTAATTCAGAAGCATTGTTGTCAATTTTGTTTCTCAGGTTTTGGGAGGTTTTGAAGCATCAAATTATGTTACTGAAAGGAAATGGGCTAGTGCTCCAGATGGTACTCAGATTCCAATATCAATTGTTTACAGGAAGGATCTCATAAAACTTGATGGATCGGATCCATTGCTACTCTATGGCTATGGCTCCTATGAGGTAACAAAAGGATTCATAGATTAAACTAGGCACGAGTGATATATTTATATTTTTTTGTTTTTACTGCAATCATTATATTCCAAATGTGATTACATTGAGAAGCATGTCTTACAGAAAATTTGCGAGATGTTTCAAAATACCCCTTGAGAACTTCTAATTGGTCAATTTTTCAAAGTACAGCCCTGAAATCTGAAGCCCTTAAAGATATGTAACCAGAGCCATCGTTGTGATTGCAGTCATTCCCTGCGTTATTAGTACTAGAGATTAGCAGAAAGATATGTTTCTGAATTTTATATGTAACTGCTCTAATCTTCCTTTTCGACAACATTAAAGCCATACACCTCGAAAGAATCAGGAGTCAAGAGATGAGTCCTGATTCCCATGGCTTTTTGTCTGCCTTTTTTAATATATGAACATCAGATGTCTTCTTAAGAAGCTTACAAGTTTTCTTGTTATAGCCTTATAGCATCAGATGCCTAATTCTGATCACAGTTCAGTAATTCTTGTGCAAATACGTTGAAGTTTGTCAGTGGTCCTTTTGGCGTCTTTCTTCTACAGGTTTATGAAAATCTTTAGAATCCTAATTTCTTGGTGAGAAAAAGCGTTAAAGTCCTACTTAAAGCCAACATCTTGGGAGAAGGTGCTTTTTAAGGTTTTTGTTTCTGTGTTTCTGATGGATTTCTTGTCTACCCTGTTTTATAACTTATTTTTTCAGTAAGATTATTGTTTCCTACAAAAACAAAATGAAGATCCTAAATAAAGCCACATATTATGCTTTTCAGAACCTTGAACTTCTTAATGTCGGGTTACTCTTCTGGCTTTGCTGTAATCACTCTGGTGTAACAACTTGCTGACTTTTGTCAAGATAGACTTTAGTCTAGCTCATGTACAATGCTGCAGGAGGCAATATCAAGCCATTGGGATTTTTTTCTTCTTCACTTGTATTCATTTCTCTCTCAATGACTCAGAGCCTTATCTTGTCAACAGGCCTGCATGGATCCCAGTTTTAAAGCTGCAAGGCTGTCTATGCTGGATCGTGGTTTTATTTCTGCTACAGCTCACATTCGTGGGGGTGGTGAAATGGGGAGTCAGTGGTATGAGAATGGAAAGTTACTAAAGAAGAAAAATACTTTTACCGATTTTATTGCTTGTGCTGAGTATTTGATAGAAAAGAAGTACTGTTCAAAAGCAAGATTATGCATTGATGGAGGGAGTGCAGGTGGATTGCTTATTGGTGCTGTTCTTAATATGAGGCCTGATTTGTTCAAGGCTGCTGTTGCTGAAGTGCCCTTTGTTGATGTTCTGACGACAATGCTTGATCCAACTATCCCTCTCACAACTTCAGAGTGGGAGGTATTTTTCTTTTCCTCACGAGATTCTTATGTTGAAGCATTAACAAGATGAAAGAAATGGAGAAGAAATTCCCTAGTAAAATTGTTTGTTATGAATGCAGAAATACTCTTGCTATGTGTATGATTGGTGAATTTTCTTGGATGCCGTAGCTTGCATGTGATGAACATCTAGTTTTTTGGACCACCACTTGGGCATTGTCAACTTAATCTCCTTAGGGATTTAATGATTAACTGGGGTGGATAATAATATAATGATCACATTTTCATTTTCATCATCATCATAATTTTTTTTTTTTTTCTTTTTCCTTGCTTTTTTGTTTTATTATAATTTTTGGAGTTCTTTGCTTGAACTTTGTTTAAATTATTCTTTAGTTTTCCAGATCTACCTAATTATATCCATTTGCCCCATCTTTATGATCTTAGGTGACTCTTGGTGACTGCAGTCAGCTTGCCGCTATTTCTTTTCAAAATGTATGTTTAGGTAATATTCACTGATATAATTTTGTTTCTGCAGGAATGGGGTGATCCACGTAAAGAGGAGTTCTACTTTTACATGAAGTCGTATTCCCCTGTTGATAATGTGAGGACAATTTAACCTGTTCTGTACTGCTTTAATCAGTATCGTTATAACAAGTAAGCTAGAATAACCCTAATTTGGTATCATCAAAGTGATCATTTACAGACAACAGACAAATAGGAAAAATTAAAGATTTTTCTCTAATCTTCTGTCCCAGATAAAATTGCCAAGCACTAAGTCATGAATTGTAATACATTCCTAAAATATTTTTTACCTTAATGATCTAAGTTTGGCATTATTTCATGCAGGTTAAGGCTCAAGATTATCCAACCATTCTTGTTACTGCTGGTCTAAATGGTAGGCACAATATCATAACACTTTTGCTTCTGCAATTTCAATTTCTTCATTATCTTGAAATAGTTGGCATTGCCATGAAAGATTGCAGGGTGCTCCCACAATATAGTTCGTTATTATCTTGAAATAGGAAATTAAAATCTATCGGAAATCTCGCAGTCTGGAAAAAAGGAACCCTGTTTAAAAAGATTAAGTCATATTGTACCATGTTGAAAAAGTAGGGTGAGAATGTAATACTTTGATCTTAACTTTAACCGTAGAAGGTTTTAAATAGAGTCTAAGCCTAATCACAGAAAGAAAGTAAATCAAATCAAATCACTTACAGGAGGAAGTTACTTTACACTGCCAAACAAATACCCGCGTAGAATCCTAGTTAGAAATACTTTTATTCTCCAACAGCAACTGAGCACTGTTCAACACATTTGAATGTTTAAGTCAAATCATTATGTTTAGAGGACTTCATGGGTAGGGCTTATTGGATGTTGGTGGCTGATCCCATGGATGAGACTCAGCTGTGTAATGGAAAGAGGGAAATTTTAGTTTCATATCTGATAATGCTTTTTTTCTCCTGGCATTCCATTTGAGACACTGGTTTATTGCAACAGATCCACGTGTGATGTATTCAGAACCTGCTAAATTTGTGGCAAAACTAAGGGATATGAAGACTGATAAAAACATCATTATGTTTAAATGTGAATTTGGTGCTGGCCATTCTTCAAAGTCGGGGAGGTAAAATTCTTTTGGCTATAATTTCTGAAACAGAATGGATTATTCATTTGAAATAAAATTTTATTATCCGTTCATTTTAGACGTAAATGCAAGTCACAATTTCACAAAGGTGAGAGGAACAATTGCTTATAATTAAAAACAGCAAGAACTCTATGGCCTTAAAGATCGTTGAAGTCTGAAGTATTTCCATGCATTCTCGGTAAGGAACTAATTCCCCATTCTTGTTTGTTTGGTGCAGATTTGAGAAGCTTCAAGAAGTTGCCTTCGCATATACCTTCATTATGAAGGCTCTGGATATGGTTCCTGCCCAAGGATCTGGGCTGAATTAATTAGACTGCTCCTAGGAGGATGTGGTGCAAATAATATAGGATTCACGTCACAAAAACACTTTTCTTTTTTCTTTTTTGGGTCCGGTATGGTGACATTGGAATCTAATTGGATTTCGAATCAGATCGGGTCAAAAAAAAAATTATACTCGGGTTGAGTGGAATTTCAAGTGCTCCGCTCCATCTCCGACCCGTTTACAGGCCTATATTGGAGACTCTTTGCATTTTTCTGTTGAATGTGACTTTTTTTTTAATGGGTAAAAGTTGAATGTGACATTATTAGACGGAAATAACGACCAACTATAGGGGAATGTTTCTGCGTGTGCCAATCCAACTACACAAGCAAAGCAACCATTTTCAAAAACTAGCAAGGTTGGATCAGTTCAGTTAATCATACATACTTATAGGAGGAGAGAGAGCCATAATAAATTAAACGTTCAACTGAACAGAAGAAGGTGAAATGGGCTTTATATTCTAAGTGCAAACATTTCATTTCCAGTTCAACCCTCCCTCGGTGTATGTATCGGTTGCATGGAATAATATTCTCTTTCTGACCCAGAAAAATGAAAAAAATAAGGGCCCGTTCGGTATCATTTTCAAGGGCCATTTTCTGTTTTTGTTTTCTGTTTTCATGTGAAAACGTGTTCGGTGGGTTGTTTTGAGAAACAAGCTGAAATTGTTTTCTGGGAATGAAAATGAAAGTACGAGTAAATGTTGAAAACGCCAGAAAGTTGTTTTTGTTTTCGGCGTTTTTGTTTTCAGTCTCTCCGAATCAAAGCCAACTCTCCTCCGTCACTTGAGCAAACAATCCAATCAAATTGTATCCAAAACAATCAAATCTCCTCCTTCCAACCATAATCAGCCCCAAAATTTCTAGAAAAAAAAAACTCATAATCACACAAATCTGCAACTAAGAAAAAAAGACAGAGAGGAAGAAGAAAAGAAAAAAAAGGGGAAGAAGAAGAAGAGAAAGAATCAGAAAGAGGGAGAAGAAGGGAAAGGGAAAAAAGAGAGAGAGAGAGAGAGAGTTGCAGAGGGAGAGATGAGAGAAACCAGCCACCACATACCCAGCTCAACCACCATCACCACCCAATCTAACCATCACAACCATTAATTAGTGGAACCGGAGAGATGGGTTGATGGGATTCGTGTAATGGAAGGAAGGAGGAGTGAGAGTGAAAAAGAAAGAAGGAAGAAGAAGAGAGAAAGTAGAGAAGAGGAAGAAGGAAACAAAAAGGAACGGGTCTGGGAAGGAAAGAGGAAGAAAAGAGGAAGAAAGAAAGAAAGAAAAGGAGAAAAAGGAGAAAAGAAAAAAGAAAAAAGATAGTTTTATCTTTTAAAAAACAATAGAATTTTTCATTTGTTAAATTATACATTTAAAAAAATATTTTTTCAAAACAGAAATTAGCAAAAATACCCTTGAAAAATAATTCACATAATATTATTCTCAATTTGTACTACCAAACATATTTTCATTGTTTATAATAATTTTAGCCTCTAAAAATATAAGAATTTTTAAAAAAGTAGAACTAAAATTAGCAAAAATACACATGAAAAACAATTGTACTACCAGACACGTTTTTATTGTTTTTGTTTTCTAAAGATGTTTTCTAATTATCTACCAGACGCATTTTCATTTCCTAAAAATGCAAATTTGTTTTCTTGTTTTCATTCTCTGAAAATATTCTCAGAAAACATTCTCCGAAAACGTTACCAGACGGGCCCTAATCCTCTTACCTACCAGTCCCCGTAATCCTCAACAAACCGGAGTTGTGAGGGTGAGTTATCCTTGCACCTCTCTAAAGTTTAAATTTATATATAATTGGCTTTTTTATATTTTTTATTTATTTTGAGTGAGGATTGAATGAGGGTTGAAGGTGTTTGGAATATCACTTCTTGCTATTCCGGTCAATGACGTAATGGTACGTGAGATAATTATTTTATGTGTCGTCATATTATTAGCAGATGACAGCAAAACAGTGATATCCTGATTACAAATAAGTGTGTGGTTTATGTCACCAACACCATCTGTGAAGTAGCACGAATAACAAAACAATGTTATCTTTCCCCAAACTACATAGTCATCTACAAAAGCTAAGGCGTAAATCCCGACAAGCAAAGTAACAAACAAAACAGAACAGAACAACCATAAAACAAAACAAAACCTTATCTCTTATCTCTTCCCAACAACAACCGAATCTTTTTACGTCTCTCTCTCTTGCTGTATTGTAGCTTTTCCCTTGGCTTGATTGCTGATTAGAAAGAATTTAGATTATCCAATCAAATTTATAGAATTGAGGAGCAGCAGCAATAATGCCATCTTCATCGCTTCGATCTTCTTCGGAGTCGGAGAGCAGCAGCCAGGAGTACCTGCAAAGGCTCTTAGACTCGGCCCGCCCCTTCCTCCGTGGCGAGCTGGAGGCGATCGACGAGAATTTGCCTTCACTTGTGGGTGTGCTGCGCTCAGTTGGAGCAGGTGAGTGCTGGCACAAGCATGGCACCTTTCTTGAACACCTGGTTGACATATACCGCATTCTCAAGATATGGAAAGCCCAAGATTCTGTCTGCCTTTGCGGCCTCTTTCACTCTGCTTATTCCAATTCCTATGTCAACCTCGCCATATTTGATCCCTCAACAGGCCGTGAAGTGGTCCGCAGCCATGTTGGGGATGCTGCAGAACGCTTGATTCACTTGTTCTGTATCGTCCCAAGACAGTCTCTAATTCACGATGACCTTTTGTTCCACTACACAGACTCGGAGCTCGTTGAACATCTCAAACAATCTGAGGTATCGCTTGCTGCCCCTGCCACTAATTCTAATTCTAATAATCAGGATCAGATTCAGGAGGATCACTCAGCAGCGCCTTGGAGTTGGAGGAAGAAACTGCAAACTCTTGTTCCTGCTAATGGGATTACAGTGAAGCACATAAAGACCGGGGAAGATGTCTTGGTCTCAAGGAGGGTAGTTGCAGTGTTTCTTATGATGACAATAGCAGATTTCAGTGACCAACTTTTTGGTTTCCAGGACGAGCTGTTTGATAACAAAGATGGCCGCCTTGAGTTTAAGGGCAACAACTATGAAGCTCTGTGGCCTGGCGATGGCAAGCCGGGGCTTTGGATGAATTCCATATCAAGAATCGCTGCAATATACACTCTGATCGTGAGAGAGGAAGCGATTTTTGTTCAAGAGAGGAAAATTACTAGTGCTACTGCAACTGGAGACAAGTTGGACAAATCTAGAGATGAAGATATTGAGCTGGTGGTGCCACCGACAAGTGCACAAGGGTTCTGGATGCCAAGGAGCAATTAGCTGCAAGGGATTTGTACTGGGAAGCTGTTTGTGGTATGTCGTCGTCGTCTAAGAGAGAGATTGTTGATGATGGTAGAGGAGCTGATGATGAGGAAGCGACGGCGGTTCTGTTGAGGTCGTGTGTTGAGAAAAACCCTTTTATTGGGGAGCCACATGTGGTGTTGGCTCAGGTTTATTTGACAAAAGCAAAGTTTGAGGAGGCAGAGAGAGAGGCAGAGAGAGGGCTGACTCTGATGTTGGAATGGGGGAGTGCTTGGGACAAGAGGATGTCTTGGGAAGGATGGATTGCTTGGGCAAGAGTGCTGCTCATGAAGGCAAGAGACAGATCATGGCCACAAACTTCCTGGGGCATCCTCAACTTGGGCCTTGTCAAGTAGACACTCACTCACTCTATACACACATCCACCCATCCGTCCGTCCGTCATCTTCATATATAAATAAACAAATAAATAAAAGCTCTCATGAGTCATGAATCAGTCCTCGTACGGTACCTTGAATCAACAAAGGGCATGCACCTCCTCGAGCTCCAGCTCCAGCTCCAGGTATGCTGTGTATCAGTTATGTGTGTGTGTGTAGGAATGAATGTTTTCCAGGACAGGACATATGTGGATGTTTTCTGGACATATGTGGATGTTTACAAATAATGTTTAGTGTCATATATATGAAGGAAAGAGTGATGTTTTTGTGTTGTTCATCAAGCAACATAAAAGTGATGTTTTTCTTCTCTCTTGCCAATACATAAGCATCAGTGTTTGCAACATAATTTAACCTTGCAAGAGAAAATTACCATATACATATACGGCCAGCCAAGCAGTAATTGAAGGAGTGGGAATTCGAACACAATACCTCAAGTATAATGGTAATTGCTCTTAATCATTTCAGCTACGAGGTCCCGCTAATAAAGTTTCCTTTTTTAACATGTCATGTTGAACCATATAAACTTTGAACATGAAACAAGAATCACGTGGTAGGACCCTCTAGGTTTTATAGGTTTACAAGATTAGGTACTATGCCTGCCTAAAATATCTTCTTCAACTTAAAAAGACTCCGAAATCTAGTTTTCCAATTCCGCATAGATTCAACATCCTAGTCAACATTGTCGATCCATACCCATGCAATGGGGGCCAATTCCCCTTTAAGCGCAATCAACGCAACCTAATCTGATTCAGGTTTGATCACTCATTTACGAGGAAACCCAAATCATTGATTTGTAATAATGCGTCAATCAAATTTCATTCTCTCCAAAAAATTTTAAAAAAATCTTCGAAACACGTCTTTATTAATTGGAAATAAATACGAAACTTTTATTTTAGAATTCCTCATTTTCAATCACCATCAAACTATAAATGTTTCTTAGGCTTATTGCTTTTTCTCTTTTCTTTTCTTTCTTCCTATAGGACACGACAATGAAAGAGCTATCACCTGCACCTGCTCGTTCGAGCCATGCCCTCCAGTAGAGAAGACATAAAATTTGAATTATGCAAAATGTAAATGATCACTACAGCAAAGAACATGGTACACAGGCTACCTATGTGAATTAGGGTAGTCAATTAGTGCAATGTGTTCATTCTCTTGTGTTGGGATTTGAATCTCTTATCTCTGATTAATTAAAGTAGTTTAGAACATGACACAGTAAAAAAATAAAAATAAAAATAAAAACAGAATAAACTTAATTAATTAAAATTAAAGATGTATGGTGGGAATAACATTAGCATTCAATTTAAGACAGATTAAAGCACTTTTGCTAGTTAGAATCTATTTAAGACAGATTAAAGCACTTTTACTGGTTATAATCACTGAAGCTATTTGTTGAGGCCTAAAAAAGTTCATGGTTGGGCCCAAATAAGTTTTCGGTCCAATACGATACTGTATTAAGAAAAGTCACATATTGGAGTACATGAAGGCTCGTCATATACAAGTTATAGTCCACGTGCCATGCTAAATAAATAATTTGCCATGCCAAGGACTGAAATAATATTATAAAATACAAGCTCATGCTAAACTAAGCACTGTGTCCCTCTTCAAGAACGATAAAATTGAAGCACGCCAAGCGACATGCCACGCCAAGCAAGAAATTATTATTACGCACCCAATCACGCCACAAGCTCAAGTGGGCCCCAAGCCACTCAAATACCTGGAGCTTGCTTGAGTGGGTTGTGGTATGGATGGTAATAAATTGTCATGAGGCTCATTGATGGGACGAGAAATGGAAGTCTAGGGTTGCTTGGGAGCCTTGGGACTCAAGCCCATTTCATAGGCCCAAACATGTGGGTGAGCACAAGAAAGAAAAGAATAGCCTATCATTCCAAACAAAAAATAGCCAAACACTTGATAAAGTTAGCCAATTTATTTGATAGATCAACATTTTGTCTTAGAAGACCCATATAATTAGGACAAAGAGACAGCAAAACCCTAACAGCTGGATAGAAAACAAAGCCACGGGTGAAAATTGAAAGGCCATGTGTGCAGAGCTACTGGGAGGCTCCAGCACGTGGGAAGGAACAAGTTTCAAGCAAGAAACACCCAGTGAACCAAAAGATATGGGCACGCAAGGAGCCACCATTTGAACCAGCATGTATACCAATTTATTTCCTTCATCATATCTGACTATGAATGAGGAAAGGAAAAAGAGGAAAGGGAATATCTGAAAATAGGAATTCTTTACTAGGGCAGCTGCGGGAAAGGGACATTGAGCTCCCAAAATCCCTGATTTTGTGCAAAGGAGCAGAATAGATTTCACTAAAATAGGATGATTGAAGGGATGAGGGAGAAAGGAAAGGAAAGACTTGACAAAATGAGATAGAAGCCATTAGGATTTCTTGGGAAAGAATGACTTCCAGCAGCTATAAATATGGCCTCTTCTACCCAACAAACATCATCCATAACCAGAAAGCAAGCTTCCTCTCTTACTTTCAAAACCAGCAATTTACATGCTTAGCTCATCTTCTTTTTCCTTAGTTTTCCTTCTTGGCAGGCTGTTCTAACACTTGACAGAACCTCTGTCAAGCTATCGGAAAAGAACTCAAGCCACTATTTTCTCTCTTTCCCTTATTCTCAACCAAACCTTTCTGTAAAACCCTTTTCTCTCTTACCCTAATACCCCATCTTTCCCCTATGAACACTTAATTTTCTCTTTAGTGCTAAACTCATGGAAACTTTGGTTTCATGCCACAAGCCTCTCATGCCAAGTTAAGATTTTACCTGTAAGCACTAAGAATTTATCTATAAGCAGCCATTATTTTTGTTGGTGAAGGTAACCAAGGTGTTTCATAAGACTTTACTATCCTTTCGAAACATTTTGGGGTCTGATCTTTGAATCAGACACATGAGATATTTTCTTCAGTTTGCTCCTTACGGCAGCCCAACCCATTTGTAGCTACCAGAAGAAAAAGGCCCCTACATAAATTGAAGACTATGCTGGGGATTATGTCATTATCTTCCAAAGACGGGCCAGACCATGATGATTCGAAATCAAGGCAAAATGACTCATCTAGAGAAGAAGAACGTGCAAGTGAGGGAGCTTTTACCCTCTCAGACCTTGTTGTAGCCATCCATGCCATGGGGGAAACCCATATGGAGATGACAGACACGATCAAAAAGCTGAAAAGTTCAGTTGCTAAGTCAAGCAAAGAGAACGAGAGACTTCCACAAGAGGAGTCTGCTGCTACCGGAAAGGGGTCTGAACAAAAGGGACCATCTTTTGTCACCCAAGAAGATGTCATTGCTATGCTGGAAAAAGAACTAAGTCGAAGTCAAGAGGATTCAAAGTACTTTCCTCAGCCGCTATATCCATCAAGCTTACTCCAGCAGCCATATCCTAAAAGCTACGAAGCACCAAGCTTTGTCCTTTTCAACGGAATGAAAGGGAGCCCGAAGGAGCACGTCAATCATTTCATTGATGCCTTGGGACCACATGCTGGTGATTATAATCTCCGGCTTCGAGAATTTTCAAAAAGTCTTACCGACCGTGCTTATACATGGTATACAACTTTGGCACCAAGCTCTGTCTGCTCTCGGGAGGATTTGGCAAGTAGGTTTCGTAAAAAATATTTCCATGAGGAAAGAGTTACTACCACTCAGCTCATCAACACTCGCCAAAAACATGGAGAGGATCCTGTGGACTTTGTGCGCAGGTTCCGGGACCTAGCGTTGGATTGCTATGATGAGAAAGATGAAGAATAGCTTGTTGAAATTTGCATCAGCAACATCATGGTATATTGCAGACTTTATTTGGAGAATATTAGCATTAGCCAATTTTCTCTGCTGTTGGAAGCAGTGAGGAAAACAAGCTTGTCAGTCAAACTAACTGGGTAGGAAGCTTGGAAGAGTGAAGAGGAAAAGCGCCACTTGGTCAGCAAGATTATCGAGAGACAGCTGCTGTAACCTCTCATAAGAGCCGTAAATCACTCTCTGATTGATTGGGTTATGAGCCGCATGAAAGTAAAGCAGCAGATGTAGCTCTGTTAAATATTTCTACAGAGCATAGCAGCCTAGTACAACACATGCCAACCTAAGCCACAAGCTTTCATGCTATTGCAAGTCATGCATACTCTTTGAATTTTTCATACTTGGGGGCTTGATTTGATTGGAGTATGCATCAATACAAAGTGGCTCAAAGCCTTACTACTGCTGAGTTGCTTTTGCACTATCCTTTTGTTTTTGGCTTTTGCACCTATTCTTTCCTTACTTTTATCTTCTTCTGTTTTGCAAACCATGTTCTTTGAAAAAAAAAAAAAAAAAAAAAAAAAATAACAAAAAAAAACAAAAGCAAATTTCTTCTTTATAAACTAAACCTACAAAAACAAAAATAAGTAACTATACCAAGCAAAGCCAAGCTAAGATGAGACCCCAAGCTGTTGACAAGCACCATGCATAAGCAATATCATGTGTCAATCTTGAAAAGAAAATAGGGAGATCATGCTATCAAGGAAAATCTTTCTAGTCCCTGCAATATTTGAAGAGAGTGTATGTGTTGGGGTGCTGTGAAAAGAAAAAAAATTAGATCACATAAGGAGGGCTTTGTGGAGAAAAAAAAATGCAAAGGCGATGGGGCAAACACTTTTGTGATCCTGTAAAAATTGGTAGCATGTACCTTGCATCTACCACAAACCAGCTCGTTAAAATCTCCAACAATTCATGCATTTCAACCAAGCAAAGTGTACATAACAAGTTGAAAATTGTTATCTGAATGCATTCCAAACCCTAACAATTCATCCATAACATTATTTCCAACCAAGCAAAGTGTACAAAGCAAGCCGAAACTTAATATTTCAAGCATTCTAAATCAAAAGTTATGGTAGAAAGTATAAAACGATGCTGTGTTTCAAGGTTCCAACAACATGAGCTTTATGCTCTTCAAAAAAGAAGAAAAAAGAAG